GTTCAAACTTTTAATCCAGATAGACTTGGACTTGAATCCCAATTCCTGTCCTCAGACACCCCCATACATACACCCACGCATTGTCTGTTCTTTGTCAAGTTACTTATCTTCTCTGAACCATGGGTTCCTCATCAGTAAAATTAGGAAACGAATATCTATTAAGTGTTTATGCATAAACCCAATAGTTAAAAACACTATTTTATGTATTTAAAGATTTGCTAAGAGGGTAGATCTTATGTTGTGTTCTTATAACAACACAAAATAATAATACTAAATAAAGAGAGGAAAACATTGGAGGTAACGAATATGTTTATGGCACAGATTGTGGTGATGTTTTCATGGGTGTATATTTAACCCTAGACTCAAGTTGTATGCATTAAACATGTACAGCTTTTTATATGTTAATCATAACTCAGCAAAGTGGTATAAAAATACACTGAATGTTGAATAACAGGCAGTAAATTTAGCATGAGTAATTAGGCAATAAATGGAAGAAAAAATATTATTATTATTATTCTTTTTAGTAAGGGGATTGTATTCTTACCTAAATGACTTACATTAGTACAGAAAAAAATTGAAAATTCGTTTGAGAAATATATTTACTTTGGAAAATGGTTTGAACCAAATAGTTCTAGCTAGGACTCTAATCCCATTTCCTTCCATCTCTAGGGATTATACTTAACAAATTAGAAAAGTGAGGCTATTTATGTCCACCTATGACCTGTATTTACTGAGTGATGCTCAGGCTGAAGCAGGTGGTCTGACTTAGGATTTCCTGCCTCACCTAACAAGGCCAGGACTAGACAAACTCTTTGTATGACATAGAAATGGCTCTAACATGGCAGAGCTTTTACTGACCCAAACAGCTGTTTCTGTGTGTTTTCTGGGCTTCCCAGAAGCCATCTGGCTTATAAATATCTCTACCTATATTTCATGAATACCTTTGTACTTGTCACTAACTCTCTAAGTACATCTGAAAGTCTATTCTTTCTATTATTTATTCAAGTTTAAGAACCAATTCTGAATGGATTGGAAGTTGCCCACACATTTTTTTCTTAGAAAATTGTATTTGTCTACTTGTCACTCCACCCACTGTACATTCACATTTGAGAGGTGCTAAATAAGTCACACATTTGAAATGTCATGCGTGCCTAATTTTATGCCTGGCAACATATTTTTTTTTGAGAAAGTAAACAATATACCGCATTTCAAAAATGTTGCCAAGCCTTATGTTATTGTTATACAGCATACGGAATCTCTATTACAGCAATTTACCTATATAATTTCATAATAAATCACATGCTTTTCAGTTCTATGGTATGTAGGAAGGCTGGATGCAAATAATGGTATTTGATCTTTCATAAATATAACTAATGCCCCTAGAAAAATCTGGGTTATATCTTTTGTTTTTCCATGGAATCAACACAATTATGAGAAAACAGAATTGGAATATATGTATTTAAGAATCACAAAAGCAACAGTATAACTATTACTGAGAGATCTAAGTAAGAAACTTAACTTTAAATCAAGATCATTATCAAAAACAGTGGAACATTTACAAAAATAAGCTTATTTTAGAGAATCACATTTGACAGCCCCCTAAATGTGAACTGTTGCCTTGTCAGTGATTAAGTTGCATCATATAAACTTAACTTCATCTTAGGCCTGTCTGTTAGGTAGTATTTATTTTCCTATCAATATTAACTCCTTTCTAACGTACTGATGGTTTGTTCCCCTGTTAGTTCATTCTACCACTTTCTTTCATTAATTCAGGAATTATCAGAATACCATTTAGAAGTATTGCTTTGCTCACTATTCCCCACCTCCAAAGTGTGCCTCTGCCTGGAAATGGGCGCATCACCACCCAGATAGTCAGGCAAATAAGTCAGGAATCATCCTTAATATTTTCCTTTCCTTCTCCCCGAGAATCAGTACACAGCAAAGTCCTGTCAGTTTCATCGACAAATAAATCCCAATCCTTCCTCTCTCTCCCTCTCCTCCACCCCCCCCCCACACACACACACACACCACACACACACTCCCTACTCAGGGCCACCATCACCTTTCTCATCAGGCTAATACAATAGCCTCCAGAATCCTCCTCTCCCGCCCCACCCCAGGCTCTGTCCGAAACCACTCTGCCCCGCAGAGAACCTGATCTTTTAAACACACACATCAAAGCTCAGTTTAGAGCACTCAGTTTCCGGCTTCTTGAATTCAAAGAGGCCAAGCTTAACCCCCCCTCAGCTGTTCCCACCTAGCCTGGGCCTGGAGGCCTCTCCCCAAATTTTCCGGCCTCACACATCTCAGTTTGCTTTGCTCCCCCGACTCACTGTTATGTTATCTCTTCATGACACGTAACATGATTTGAGATTTTTTTTAAATTAATAAACTTAATTTTTAGGTTTACAGTTTTAGATTTACAGAAAAATTGAACAAAGAGTATAGAGTTCTCCTTACTTCTTCTCCCCTGCCTCCCTAAACGATGTCCTCTATCACTAACATCTTGCATTAGAGTGGTATATCTGTTACAGTTGCTGAGCCAATATTGATAGAATTAATCAAAGTCTATAGTCTAGATTAAGGTCACTCATACTGTTGTACATTCTATGGATTTTGACAAATCCATAAAGTCATATACGGGAGGGAGGGGGCAAAAGTAAACTAATAATAATAATAATAAATAATACAGTAATTAATAAATAATAATACAAGAATAAACTCTGTGTTTTGTGTACTCACAACTGTAAGCCTACTTTTGCCAACCCCTGTATTCACTATTATAATATACAGAATAGCTTCACTGACCTAAAAATTTGCTTCACCTATTCACTCTACCCCACCCAACCTCTGGCAGCCACTGATCTTTATATTGTCTCTAGAGATTTGCCTTACAGAATGTCATATACCCGGAATCATACAATATGTTCACTATTTGATTTTTTAAATGTTAATTATTTTTTTAAAAATCCCTCATGAGAACAGAGACCGCCTCCGTCTTGTTCTTTCCTTTGCCCACAGTACCAACAACAGACCCTCAGTGGATCCTCTGTAGGAATTTGTGGATTGAATGAATGGATGAATCTACCCACCAACCCCATAAAGTGCAACCACCTACACTTTTGAAATACTCTTTTCTTGAATTGCTCTGGTAACCTTGGAGCAGACTTATCCAGGTTTCAGACTTTTCCACTGATGCTTCGCAGATATTAGGAAAAGAAGAGTTGCTCCCGGGCCCCACGTGGTTGAGGGTGTGACTGCTCTGGGACCTTTTGCCACCCGAGACCAATATCTCACAGAGGGATTTTCCCAGTCATTTTAGACTCATGGGTGCCCCTTGGGTTAGAAATGCAGGCTCTTACATATTAATGGCAAGCTCTGCTCTGGCTCCCTCATCCTCTCATACTCACAGGCTGATCATGGATCTGCTTCCTCACTTTCCTCCCTTTAACCTTGCCTTTGCTCTTCCGAATCTTACCATTTACCCCTAAACAATTTCCATTTTTCTCAGTCTTTACCTCTTCTGTCTTCTGTCCTCACATCAGTGAAGGAGAAACACATACTAATGTGACTGACAAGAGCGAGCACGCCATTGGAGATGTCCTGTGCTAAGAAAACGAAGAGCCAGATGTTTTAAAGTCCAATGAACTCTAACCAGAAACCACACCTTCTAAACCACTGGGAACCGCCCAGAGGTCTCCACCACAATTTCCATAACCTCCAACCTTCTCTCGTTAAAATGCTTTCCCCTTAACCTCTACCATTAATAGATACAAATCAATTTCCTCACTCAATTCTTAAACAATTCTTTTGTTTATTGGGCCACAATTTGTAGAAATCTTGTTTAATGCCTGGCCCATAGGAGGTCCCTCCGAATTTATTAGGATAGAAGCTTTAGGGTGTTTTTACTACTTCCTATATTTAGATTCAAGGAAATATGCTTATCATCATCTTAGTCAAGGCCTTAATTGTTTTATAGCCCTCAAGTTTGGACCTACTCAGCCTCTGTCTTTTCAAACAGCCCTAATCTGTCTAACATAAACCCTTTCCCAGCAGGGGAGCACAAATGAGGGAACAAAATCCAATAGAACACTGGCAGCACTGATGATTGCAGAAAGAATAAATAGCAGGATGTCTTTTGGGGGGTATTTGAAATGTAAGAAAGGAATGTTTTTAAAAATATGCAAGATTAAAAAGAATGCAGCACACAGATAAAAGTTACTAAAACCCATTTGTAAACTTCAAATATTTTGTTACATCACAGTATTTTGAAAGAATAAGAAAATCCGTTTCTATTTGAAGGTAACTGTTAACTCATTCAATACCACAGAGCATTGCCTAGATTAATGAGTTTAGATTTACTTGGGGTTCTATTGTTTTTAAAATTAGAGATATACCTTTAAAGGCTTGACATTCATAATTTGTAATTTAAAGAGCTATTTGCAGTTACACTTTTATAGTGTTTATTCACCTAAAAACATGAGTTGGTAGTGAATTGTGCAGCCTTTGGGTCTATAATATCTTTTCATGCCTGGAATTTCATAAAATGCTTTCAGGGCCCTTTTAAAAAGAAGTTAGTTAATCAAACACTTTTTAATGAGTAAGCTTGCCTCTAAGACATATTTCTTTTAAAAAGTGTTCCATAAAAGTGATATAAATGAAGAAGTAAAGTAAGCCCCAAGTGCGCCCGTGGGACTTGAATGGCTTTGAGGGCTTTGATGACCCCGGGGAACCACTTTCTAAAGCTTCATTCTCAGCGTTGATCAAGTTACTAAAAGCCTAGTGCAATCCCAGCTCCATTCTGCAGGTCAGAATCCACAATTGCATAGGTTTCCTTTAGCTATCACTCCGCTGTCAGGTATGAAATCCCCCGATTTAGCAGGGTCGCAGTCTTGCTTCTGTTGCCGGTCTTTTCAGCATTCATTTGAATGGCAAATGTCTCCAATAATATTAAGCAGTGGGCTCAGCAAAGGATAAGATAGATAAAGAAGCACACTTACCATCAAGCATGTTACTATCATAACAAAGATGCTGAGAAATATGACAACGGCATAAAATCCTTCTTTGCTCCAGATTTTGTCCGCTTCATGCTGCCCTTGCAGAACATTTTTCTTTAAAAGCAAAACAGAAAGTCCGGCGTTAGATGAGAGCTGGAGGAGACTGGCGTTCTTATCAGACACTACACATATTTTTAGCTTTCTCCCATTCAGTGTAGTAGCACACACCTACATTCCGCGCTGCCAGCGCTGCTCCTCCAATTGCTCCGAGACAAGGCACTGCCCCCTCAAAGAGATTATTTCATCTCCTGCCCAGGAGCAGACAGGCCCCGCATGCCAGGCCCGGTCCCAGCTTCGTAAATGTCCCTCCCATCTCTCTTGGAAATGACCTGGTTCATAGGTAAGAGAGTTCCGTTCTGTTCTGCTTGGAGGAAATTGTTTCTGAAGCTTTCTTGACTCTGTGTGAAGTCCCCTCCCACAACACCACCCTGGTTTATGTGCAGCTCTTAACTTTTCAACAAAAGTGAAACAGGTGCAAACAAAAATCTCATAATGCATTAATCAACAGAGCAACGATGTCAGAATCATTTCCTTCTCCTTTTTCCTCCTCTGTTATCAAAGCTTTTCATTTTTTAAAAATGCAGTCTTATTTGTCAAAATCTGATTAAAGTACCAACCTCAACTACATAAATTGTTAGAATATTACATTTTATTTAAGCATCAGGGAACACCACAAAAAGTCCAGAATTATTTAGTAATAAAAGGTGAAATAAACAGTTTTATTTTTATTTATACTTTTTTTGTTTACTACTTTGGGAGTGGAAAAGCATGAATAAAATGTGAATGAGTGAAATTTTATTTCACCTACTCTTTTTTTTAAAGCATATCTACTAAATCAAGTTTTAGAATGTAATTAGTTTTATGATTCACTGAAATTTATAGATTTATAGTTAAACTTCAACCTGAAACCAAATGGTCCACAATTAGGAAAGACAAAGGTGGCTGAGCCCTAACTGGTTTGGCTCAGTGGATAGAGCATCGGCCTATGGACTGAAGGGTCCTGGGTTTGATTCCAGTCAAGGGCATGTACCTTGGTTGCGAGCACATCCTCAGTAGGGGGTGTGCAGGAAGCAGCTGATCAATGTTTTTAACTCTCTATCCCTCTCCCTTCCTCTCTGTAAAAAGTCAATAAATTATATTAAAAAACACACACGCACACACACACACAAAACAAAGGCAGCTGAATCAAGTAAAATGTTTCCACATTGCTGAAGGTTGCCTTTCCCCCCTTTTGTGAGAGTATGTCTGTCCCGGGATATTTACTCCAATGATTAAGAAAGTCTTGAACAAGGACATATTGAATGATGGAAAGCCACGTGGAGAAAGGGCCTGGAAAGTGAGAGGTCATCTTGGACATTTCAGTGGCAAATGAATTCCCAGCTTAATGTAACCACTGGGGTGACTCCAGTGGAACAGATCAACCTAGCTGATCCTCGTCCATCCACAGAATCATGAGAAATAAATAGTAGTCATCACACACACAAAAAAGAAAGCCTTGAATAAAACCTGTTCTTGTGTCTGAACTTAGAAATCATTGCTAATTACCTTTGCGGCATTAAAAAAAAAAAAGAAAGAAAGAATACTTTCACCCTAACCGATTTGGCTCAACGGATAGAGCGTTAGCCTGTGGACTCAAGGGTCCCAGGTTCGATTCCGGTCAAGGCCATGTACCTTGGTTGCGGGCACATCCCCGGTAGGGAGTGTGCAGGAGGCAGCTGATCGATGTTTCTGGCTCTCTATCCCTCTCTCTTCCTCTCTGTAAAAAATCAATAAAATATATTTTTTAAAAAAAGAATACTTTCACCATTTGTAAATTAGACAAAATGAAACATTTGCCTTGAAAAACGTTTTATGAAAACTTTTATTCTGGAACTCAATGAGTGGGGAGTTGAATAAGACAAAAAAGAGAGGGTCTGTTAAATTAAATTAGTTAAATTGTGATTAAAAACAATTCGAGGGAGTCTTTTATTGCTTGAAATAGTTGAGTTTCCATTTCCTTTGCTTGTAAAACATTGATGTACTCACCATACCATCTTGCTTACTTTCTAAGGCACAGACAAATTTGTGGATGTAAGAAATGATTTTGAGATACATTTTTAAAATATGTAAATAGTAAGTGGATGGAGAATCTGAAAATACTTGATGAAATGATTGGAAACCAAGTATCTTTCTGGACAGGAAATCTTGGGTTCAGATGACAACTCATCTTTTACTCTTTAACCTCATCCAGATATATTTTATTCCAATGTGTTCATAAACATAGCTGGTAACTAATAAAAAAAACACTCCTGAAGAAATCAGGTATAAATATGTCAATGAGTTTTTTGTTTTGTTTGTTTGTTTTTTGTGCAGGCAACTAAATAACATCTATTGCTTGCTATAAAAGCCAACTAGTGAAGCCTTCAAGTAGGCAGCATAAACCTGTCAAATTTAAGTATCAGGATGTGAGCTTTAGTTAATGTAAAATGTGGATCAAAAGGGGTGGTTAGGTGGGTGGTAAGAGATTCTGTGTTCCTAACCTGATCTGCTTCATTTCTTCTCTTCCTGCTGTAGTTATACACCTCCTGGAATAACAACATGTTCCTTTCCTTGTAAGACATATCTGTTTTGTTTTTCTTTTACCTAAAGCAGCGATGATGGAAGAATTAACCTCCCTCCCCCACTCTCCCACCCCCAGTTAGAAAGACACATGTTTTGTACTCCCAGAACTTAGTCACTGCACTTTCTTGGTAAATAGATTTCCTTCTGAGTCATGCTATTCCTGTGAGCACTACTATATTTGTACAGAGATCTAAAAAACTTGATAAGGGCAGGGTAATAAATGGAAAAGTTTGTCGTTAACATTCCACAAATCAAAAGAAGATAATTCATAAGACTCTCCCATCTAACCTTTGCATGAGGTTGAAATGATGCCTTTTTTATTTTGTCAGGAGACTGGAGGTTCAATAGTTCAGAGACTCCATGGCCGGGTCAAGCCAATGCCGTTGTGTCACCTTTACATCTTATTTCAGATATTCTAATAATATTTCCCCTTTAACTATATTGCATTGAAAGTTGTTGGGTTTTGTTTTGTCTTATGGTTTAAAAATTGGGCATGTTCCTGTATCACTATATCAATGAGAATGGCTTCTCTATATCCCATTTAATAATTTGATGCACTATAGTTTTCTTGTTTGTTTGTTTTTTAAACCCATTCTGATCCCAGATGGTGGAAGAGATTCCCAAATGCTAGGAGATATAATATAGAGCAGCGGTTCTCAACTTGTGGGTCGCTACCCCTTTGGGGGTCGAACAACCCTTTCACAGGGGTCGCCTAAGACCATCAGAATTCACATATATAATTACATATTGTTTTTGTGATTAATCACTATGCTTTAATTATGTTCAATTTGTAACAATGGAATTGGGGATCACCACAACATGAGGAACTGTATTAAAGGGTCGCAGCATTAGGAAGGTTGAGAACCACTGATATAGAGGCTTTAGGTCACAGGGCTGGGGAACCTTTTTTCTGCCAAGGGTCATTTGGATATTTATAACATCATTCAAGGGCCATACAAAATTATCAAATTCACAATCAGCCTGCTATATTTGATCAAACATTTCATTAACCCACCCCTAATGCCATGGCAGGGCCAGAACAAATGATTTTGAGGGCCTTATACAGCCCGAGGGCCGGATGTTTCCCGCCCCTACATAGGAGACATGGCTATTTAGGACAGATGAGCGCATAGAATGAGAACGGAGTAGAAATATTATAAGTTACCTGGTTAATTGATTGACTTGGGCAGATAAATGAGATGCAGCCTACAGTAATGTGGTGGTACAGGACACACTTCCACTGTGCAATACCCAGGGTGAGCAGTTCGGTCTGAATGGTCTAACCTATGTTAACATTGTTTTCCTCCTCAGCACTGTATGGCTGGGACTGTAATGCTTTAGACTGTTGGCTAATGTTCCTAGTTCGAGGGAACAATCACCAAACTCCCAGATTATGGCGTATGTTCATTTGATATGATTTTTTTCTCTTTGTAAATATTCCATGGAGGTATCAGTTGACACACTGGCCTGTTATTTAATGAAGGTAACGTCCTCCTTTGCAATATAAGACCTGTAAATCTGGAGTAATTTGCAACCGAACAAAAACAACCGAATCCTAAGTCATTTTTAGTGTGAATGCAAAACTTATTGTTTCAATGGATATTTATAAAAACTTTTAAAAATGGGAACTAAAATAATGAATTTAATTTTATTTTTCTGAGATTTGACTTATTAGGTACGAAGTCTAGTTTTATCTTTATGAGCATCTTAAAATAATATTTGTGTGCTAACAATGTTCTAGGTACTGTATAAAAATATTTTTTTAAAAAAATGCCCCCCCCCCAAAAAAAAAGAAAAACAGACAATAAACAAAAGTAATTCTCTACTTGGTATTTTTCTTTCTGTCCCAAGAGTTTTTTCTGATAAAAAAGTCAAGCAAATAAAGAAATGGCCACAACAAAAAACACATCCTTCCCTGAAAGAAGCTAATATAAGTTTAGGAATAGATGCTTTGAGACATGATTCACAATGTTCTGTGACCCATGCAAAGGATGAAAAACCAAAAAAACAATATTCATTTTTTTTCCTCTTAATAAACATGCTCCCATAGCAGAGCTATAATTTTAGGATAAAAATGTGGAAGAATGGGTTGAGGCATAAGCTGTCATCACACACTAATCACAGCGATGAATAAAGAAGCGGGGAAACTCTTTATTGCGAATAGCTTGAACAACTATTCACAAATGCTTTGGCAGTTGTCCTCTGGACTGTTCATGTCTGAAGCCCCCCATGTGGGCACTAGCTCCCATTTCTGCATTTACGGCTTCAGGTCAGAGGGTAATGCTGGACCCCTTTTAAAAGTACCTGCAAAAGGCTCAATCAATTCATCTGTCCTTGATGAAATGCTCCTGATAGCCGATTAAAATACGTTCGAGCCTCCTGTAACATAATATTTCCGAGGGTCTAGCTTTCCTAGATTTCTAGATTCCCACAGTTTCACCAGAAAATATTAAGTTTTGACCATCAAATACACTTTCACTATTAAAGTACAGACTGTGGTCTTGTGGGCTAATAGTACTGTGATGAGAGTAAGGCTAAGCCCTTCACCTTTCACCGAGCTGGGGGCTGTTGGAGGACCCCCAAGTGTGTACTTGATATTAACTAGATTTTTGAATGGTGAGTTTCTCTTGGTTCACAAATCTGGATGACTCACTAAGCTGCCATATTCTTAAAGCATTAAGAATAGTATTTAAACTCAGATTAAAGCAACAGGGAAGAATGCTTATGTAAGCCACTGAAAGCTTACAGGAAGCA